CTAGGAGGTTCATAAAAAAAACCTAGCACTAGGAGCATTTTCAACAGGAGGGGCTAGCCCGATCAAGAGGCCCTCTAGGCCCTAAGTCCCGTTTCCAACAATCAAGGCTTGCTAGGACAAGCGCTGGGTTCCATCGGCCTGGACAAGAGTCAAAGCAAGACTTGGGCAAGATGACTAAATACTGACGTCAGTATTCAATTTAAATAACAAAAAAATTGAAAAAAAAAAGGAAAAAAAAACCAAAAATTTCAGAATTTCAATTATATATATATATATAAATACTTAGCCATATTCTTCACTTCCTACACCAAAACTCTATACAAATTCCTCTCCTCATATCTTATGTAAATAGTGGTTACCTTTGAGTTGCCATGGTAATGGGTGGAAAACCAACAAAAAATTTGCTAGGGCAAGCACTATTTATGTGAATAGTAACAGCCTTTGCCCCCTTACTTTTTGTCATAAGAGCACTTCCACCCATTTGCCATGGCAAAGGGCAAGGGCAAGACATGGGCTGTTACTATTCATATGAATAGTGGCAGCCCTTTTCCACCCATTGCCATGGCAATCACTATTCACATGAGATATGAGAAGAAGAATTTGTATAGAGTTTTGGTATGGGAAGTGAAGAATATGACTAAATATTTATTTTAAAAAATTCTGAAATTTTTAGTATTTTTAAAGATTTTTTTAATATCTTTTTTCGTTGATGACATCATCGCTGACATCAGCAAACCCAAACAACAACCCAATCTATTTTTTCCTTTGGGATGGCCTAGTTTGCTAGGACCCAGCTGCTGCCTGGGCAGCTAAGCCCGCTGGAATTCCAAAACCTCACTTGGGCCCCGTCCTGCCCTAGCAAAGGGCTGTTGCTGGAACTGCTCTAACAAATGGGTGGAAATACTCTAAATACTAACCAACCATCTTTCTATATCTATACATATAAAGCAAAAGACAGAGAATGGTAAAACATTCAAAATACCATAAAATGCCCTTGGTTAATGCAAACATTAAGAAGTGAAATTATTAATTAAATGAGGATAATATGGTAAATTCACACCTTTTCATATAAAAAAATTAAAATTAAAAGAAATATCAGATAATAGATCCTATTTTTATGGAACACAACTACCCATTATCTTTTTTAATTCTAAATAAATTTAAATTTTTTTTAAAAAAGCCTCTAGCAGGCGCGGAAGCGCGTGCAGAGAAGCTAGTTTATCATAAACCTAAAACAATTTTCTCGATCTTTCCTTCTTATCTAAACTAGCACCGAGGGATAGCCAACCCTAATTCTCAAGGCATAATGTAGTTTTCATCTTCACAAGGATGATGAAAAACGTGGAATTAAAAGGTGAAAATCCCCCCACATGTTACACTTGTTGCATATGCCGTATGAGGAGCAAATACAAATGGAGTGGGGTTGTTGAGGAGGGCCACCTCTTTTATAAGGATCCTGTTAGCTAAGGAGGGCCAGCTGAACACCATTCTCATGCAGGCCCATGCTTGGGTCTATTGAAAGCTGAAGAGGGCCTCTTAAGGCAAGGCCCACTTAACAAAAGTCTCCAGCCTTTTTGATCGTCTTTATTTTCAAAACCCAACACCATTTCATGTTTTTGATTTCCAGAAACCTGTGAAATGTTTAAATGGTTTTACCAAGGTAGAAGAAGGAATGAATTATATTCATTAACAAATGTATATAACAAATGCTCATGAATTGGAGAAATTATAGAATATAAACGAATCTACTTTTTTTTTTTGTTTCTTTGTTGTTAAAAATGGAAAATTCAAATTGTAAAAATGTTAATTACTGACTTTTTGTATGGAGTGCTGAATTTCATGACATAAAATTGTTTATAGAAAATATATTAATATTTAAATAGTATAGCTCCTGTAAAATATATATTCGAATATTTTAACGGTATAGACGCCCGGCTGTACTTTCAAAATATATTAATATTTAAATAGTATAGCCCCTGTAAAATATATTCGAATATTTTAACGGTATAGCCGCGCGGCTATACTCGTTAAATATATTCGAATATTTTAAAGGTATAGCCGGGCGGCTATCCTTTAAAAATATATTAATATTTAAATAGTATAGCCGGCGGCTATACTCTTAAAGTATATTCGAATATTTAACAGTATAGCCGCACGGCTGTACGGTCAAAATATATTAATATTGAAATAGTATAGCCGCGCGGCTACACACTTTAAATATACTTTGACAGTACAACCGCCAACCCTAAATATAATCGAGTCATATTTGCTATACTTTAAAAATAGTTTCAATTATTAGAAAATGATTTTAGCATTACAAAAATGGATTTGAGCCTCCAAACCCTAAATCCAAGTCTCAAGTCTCGAACCCTAACCACAAGGCTACTATAGGGCACTTATGACTCGATTAGGCTTGCTCAATCGGTAGCTTTGAAAGTTCGTTTTGATGTAATTTCTTGTGACTTAAAAAAAAAAATGTGTATATAAAATTATTCAAATTGATTTAGTAATCAACCAATGATTTTCTGACCTAAAAAAACTAAACCAATGATTTATTAGGTGATAAAAAAAACGAAGGCTAATGATTGAGTGGAAAAAACAATTGATTTTCAGAATGAAGTGAAAATCTTGGAAGTGGGGCATAAATGATCGTGATGATAAATGCAATGAACATGACTGGAAATTACTATCTTAAGTCCCTCCAACTTGCGGACAAGACAGAAGCTAAGAAAAAAGGTGTTCATGAATAACGTTGGCTGTAGGCAAGTTTTGCAAGAATGGGACCAATCTGCTGCGGCCGGCAACATCAATCTTCATCCACCTTCCAACGTCAAGAAAAAGATATATAGTGGGGACTGAGGATATATTAGTAATAATAATCATTAATTAAAAAAACAAAAAACAAAAAAAAACCCAAAAGATAAGAGAGCTGGCTTTTGCCACTAGCTTCAACTGGCTCTTGACATCTTTTATCTTCTGTTATCTGCTTATATGGTAAGATCTTCTTGCGGGGCCCATGATAATTGGAAAGCAATAGTCTTGTTTTTTTCCCAGTAATAAAAAGTATAGGGGAAGAGGAGGCTACCCCCATTTCAAGGTCAGGGTATACCAAAGCCTCTTTGAGATTAACCACTAAATGGAATTGTCGGCAGCGGGATTTGAATCTAAACCTTGATAGCAAAGAAAACGATCCTTACCAACTCAATCAACCCATGTTGGCTGAAGCAATAGGCTTGAATTCATGATGATGATGCCTAACTATTTGCATTTGAAATACAAGGGGAATCTGCCCATTATAAAAAGGACCACACCCCCAACCCTCATCCCAAAAGCCAAAAATAAATAAATAAAAGAGATACTACCTGGGGAAGGTGAAGACATATCAATTTTCATAAAATATCAAAATAGTATATGTATAATTAACCGTAATGTTATATATACGATATTTACTGATCACACTGTTAATTATAACTTTTCGGCTCATACTGGTGAGTGTCAATGTGATAAGTTTACTATGTGATTGATGAAATAGTTCTCAAAGTGAGTTGGAATTTGGGAAAGATGAATATGAACCCACCCTACTTGATAGAATATAATGATGACCCCCCAACCCTCATCCCAAAAGCCAAAAATAAATAAATGAAAGAGATACTACCTGGGGAAGGTGAAGACATATCAATTTTCATAAAATATCAAAATAGTATATGTATAATTAACCGTAATATTATATATACAATATTTACTGATCACACTGTTAATTATAACTTTCCGGCTCATACTTGTGAGTGTCAATGTGATAAGTTTACCATGTGATTGATGAAATAGTTCTCAAAGTGAGTTGGAATTTGGGAAAGATGAATATGAACCCCACCCTACTTGATAGAATATAATGATGATCTTATACTTGTCGGAGAAAGCAGAAATCCTTCTTGCTGGAAAGGTAATGACATTTTGATCAAATGAATTTTTATTTATTTTTATAATGATAGTGGGAGGCCTATGTGAGTCATGCACGTGCACTTGTAAGTCATTATTATATTTGATCGTACCTCCTAATTATCTCCTCACTAACTAATCTCAGTACTTAAGCTAAAAGGCACGTTGGTTCCAAAATTGTTAATCTAAATAAAACATAATTAGACATTTTTGCTTCAAGACCAATTATTGAACTTGGTGAAACAATTGGAAACCAGAAAAAGAAAAGCATCTACAGAAAAAGGGTAGGGAGGAGGAGACATAATCTTTGTGGCAGTTGTTGACTTGAAGATCAAAATGCTAGAAATACAGAAGCACAAGTTGTATAATTGACTCTGCGAGAAGCACAAGGCACACCATTTTAATCAGATTTGGGAAAGTTTCCATGTTCATAGCTCTCACCATTAAAGAAAATGAAGGAGAGCTCCAAGTCAAATTATGCAATAAAGGATCAGCCCTGCAAGCCATGTGCTTGATCTTGGAGTTTTATGACTTGTGTAACATGGAGTTAGAGATAAAAAAAGGGTACCCCAATATCGAGGACTTGCATGTCACGGGTATAGCATTGTTTTGCTATCCCCATCCAATCACGCTCAGTCATGTGGAATTCTTATTATGCATGGCGGAGCATGATTGGTTGGGGATAGCAAAATAGTGTTATCCCCATGATATACGAGTTTTTCTCCCCAATATCAGCAGAGCTGGTAGTAGTTGGCTTTGCTTTTATTTTGATTCCAAGACCACCACTACCTTTCAATTAATTGCAGCTTGACTTGTAAAGAACAAGATAAAGCTTGAGAAAGAGTGGTAGAAGCAAATTCCTTTTGATCTTCAAACCTTGAAAACAACAGGTCATAAATAGACTAATATTTCAGAACATGAACTGTAACATTTAAGCTAAAAGGTAAAGAAAAGCCTCAGTGATTCAACTTTTTCCTTTATTCATTTCCAGTTTCTCCATATACTTACAGTGACAGATATAACAATCACAGGCAAAAGCATAAGCATAAAGGTGCAAACAAAGAAACACTTCAGGAAACATCAATATCCATTAAAAAATTGAGGCATATTTTTATAAGAGAACATCAATGAGCAGAAATATGCCCGTATTTTATACATGTTGTTGGACATGAACTGAAATACTATCTTACTTTTTACCAGAGTCAAAAACTCAATTCAGGAAGCTGCACAACTAGGCTTGGGATGTTTTGAACTCTTGCAGTAGTTGTTCATTGGCATGTACGTAGGAGAAGTGACTCTTCGATCACCTCAACTATGCGGTAAGATCGTACGTCGCTCGTTGGTTGGTGAGGCATGTGAACAGTGCGAGCTAGAAATATATTCGACACAACAACTTTTGCCACCTTGAAATAATCTTGTTGAATAAGCCAGGGGACCATAGAGAGGAGATAAGCATGCACACTCACTGATTAACCTGTTAACATCAGAAAAAAACAGCGTGTCTATTAAAATTAGTATGACAGGGACACTTATGGCATCAAGGATTTAACAAAAACAAAACAGTTTTTTACATGTCAAAATGACAATTATAGCTACAGAGCATCAGCGTCAGGACTGTTGATAGCTAAAAGGAGAATTCAGTGTAAGGGACTAAAAAAAGACATAATGGCCTATATTTAGCAGATAATATGAGCCACAATTGTGCACAACAAGATTATTTGTGGCTAAACGCCTCACAGCAGGGAAGCAGTTTGCGACCATTCACTTTATTGGGAGATTGCAACGAAGATAAGATAGGAAATATTCATAAGTTCAACCCAATTTGCTACATAGACCCTGATTTTGACAGCCATCAAACATAAGAATCCACAAACTACGGTTCACACGGTTTCTTTAACAAAAGTTTATGAGTTTGAAAAGTTAAGCATGCTTCTTGTAAACAATGATTATCTCCAAGATGGAGGAGCAGTCAGTTACTGGCCTATCAATACAACTTTCCACATACTTTGTTTGCAAATCTGAGTCTTAGAAATCAATAAAGTGACCTAAGATAAGTGGTTGATGAAGTGACTTACACATCTTGCCACTTAAAGTATCATTAGCTGTACCTCCTCCACCTAAAGGTCCACTGTTGATGCCAGTTGGTGCTGTCATCTGATTCTGTTGCATAGGCTGGGAGCCAAATCTGAACATATTCATAGGCTGCAAGAAAATTTAGATATGATAAAATGAAAAAAATTCAGTTAGAAAAAAGAAAAAAAATAAGAAAGCATGTCTAACAAGACAAGAATGGCGAATAATTTACTTGTGTACAAAACCACTATATTACTAAACATTTAATTCAAGACAAAGAACACAAACCTGAGACATAGTCTGCATATGATGGAAGCCCATAAGACGCGCATACTGCTCCTGAAAAGCGGGATTTTGCATCTGGTTATGATAATCAACTGGATTCAACACCGGTGCTTGGCACATTACAGCCATTTAATTCAAGACAAAGAACAAAAACCTGAGACATAGTGTGCATATGATGGAAGCCCATAAGACGCGCATACTGCTCCTGAAAAGCGGGATTTTGCATCTGGTTATGATAATCAACTGGATTCAACACCGGTGCTTGGCACATTACAGCCTGGTTTGTTGCTGGAGCCACATTCATGCACTGATCAACTAGAGGGACTCTAGGTAAATGCATCGGATTGTGCATTGAAGGCAAGGCTGGTGGTCCCATTCCCATTCCCACTCCCATTCCCATTCCCATTCGGGACATATAGTGCTGCATGGCTGGAAACATCATTGGTGCCATCCCGGTTCCCATCCACATTACCTGAAGCACCAAGGAAAGTTGTTATTAGTAGCTTGAGCTACAAACAATATAGGACCAGTTTGAGTTTTATGAGGTGCCATTGTACCTGAAGTTGCATCTGAAGAGACTTCAAGTATTCAATTGCCTCATCTAACATTGATGCTTTATCTGTCTGAAAAATAAGGACCAATTCAGTCAGAACAATATATGATTACATAAAAATTGAAAGACTACAAGAGAAAAGAAAACAAGTTAATAGGTAGTATGAATAAAGAAAGATATGGTGAGTGCCTGCGGTATATATTTTTTTACAGACAGAAAAAACTGAATGGCCTTTAAGAAAGTAAACCTTGTTAGAATGAGGTATGAGCTCTTGCAATGCTCTCATTTTCTCATTGATCCGATCTCTCCGTCTCTGCATCAACGAACAAGTTATAGTGTAACTAAAAAACAAGTTATAGCAACAAAATCACAAATTCCAAAACTTTGAAATGATAGGAAACTCCTACCCTTTCTGAGAGATTATGGACTTCAGCAGCACGGCTCCTCCTGGATGACCCAGACCGTTGTGCTGACTTGTTTCCCGCAGCTGACTCAAGTTCAGCAGCCTAAAACATACACAGGTTATTGGTCATGGTGAAAAGAAAGTGATGCTACAAGCAGTCAATGTATTGGAGAGAGGGTTTTTACCTCACTTTGGCACTCTGAGTCTTCAGCATCTCTACCCTTTCTTTTGTTGCTATTGACAACATTAGACTGCTTTCCTCCTCTGCCAAAACTACTACCAGAACCACCAGAAGACGAAGTAAGAGTTGGGTCTAGTGTATCTGTTTTCCCTGTCTCACTCTGAGGCATCATCTTTTGAACATTGTCATAGAAGGGTCCAACAGATAAACCAGTCGTCCCATCACAATTGCTTGAAGCCCTGCTCACATCAAGGTCATTTAGAACTTGGTTGCTACCAACGTAACTCGAACCAACGGTCATTACCGAACACTCTTTAACCTCCCCCTGAGTTAAATTGCCAGACTCTTTCCCTCCTATTTTTCCTCTCGAAGATCCTCTATCACCCTTGCCTGGGGTAGCAAATGTTGAAAAATTAACTACTTTCCCCAAGCCTCCTAGATTTTGGTTTTGCTCAGTTGAGTTATTGTATTGATATCTTGGAGGAGGCATTGGGTTTGCAGGATATCCCATACCAGCAGGGGACTTAACATTAGGTTGGGGGGCAGTGGAAACAAGATGGGGCGTATCAGAAGCACCAAACTTAGCAAACTTTTCTTCTTCAAATTGTTTGGTTGGCTTGTCAATCTCAATTGGATCACAGGAAGGCAATTCAGAAAAAAAATGGGAACAGAACTCTTTGTCAAAGGAATCTTCAAGAGGGTAGTGGATCAAGGAACTTGTGTCTTCATCTTGAATCAAATTACTTGAGTTCCCATATAATCCACCAACCCTTATGGTTTGCTGATCTTGTTTTTGAACTTGTCTGGACTCATTAGGAGGATTAAGACTCGGTTTTCGATGCGTTTGGCTGTGCAAAACTACCTGTCCATTTCTCCACAAGAGCTCTACTAGTTCATGGTCTGGCCTGTATAATTTGCCACCCAATCAAGATAGTTCAACAAGTTCAAAATGCACAACATTTTATTCAGGCAAGTAATCTGGTAATAACTTTGAGAATATATAAGAGAGAGTACAGACCCCATGGGTTTCTTTTGGTTGGTCAAAGGGAGATCAGCCTCAAAGTTCCAATCAGGAATGCAAGAATTCATGTCTCAGCAGACAGGATTTCTGTAAAACAAAGCAAGAAGACAACTTTAGATTATTGTAAATGATTGATAACCATATTTAGAAGCACTGATACCTCATCTAGAAGAAACCAACTTAAAATACTAATTGATTAGTTGGTCAACTGACTAACTAATTTAATAATCAAACAATAACCAACAAAAGATGTTGCAGCATACCAAATATGGAACTGTACTAAGAAATGGAATAAGAGAAGCAATGAAATGAAGCCCCAATATATTGTTTTCTACACCACATGCTCTTTACAGATTAAAAAATTAAGAGCCCACCCAAATTAGACTCTTCATTATCATTATTAAAAAAATTGAGAGCCACATGGAACCCAGAATAAAATAATCCCACCATGGAAATAGGCAAATAATGGAGAAAAATCAACTCAAAAGCTGCAGTTGAAAATAGAGACATCATTGACCACTTAAGGGAAAATACTAATAAGAAGTGATTGAAAAAAAAAAAAAAGGAAAGACAATGAATGATATGACACGAAAAATTTCTGGTTTTTTCTACAAAAAGAAACCCAAAAGAAAAAATATTCAAACGAAGAGAAAGTTAAAAACCCAGAAGGACAATGAGTACTAAAATTGCACCCAGAAGCAGAAAATGGAATAGAAAAGCACCCCTGATCAAAAGCCAAGCTCTGACTTCTCTTGAAGTGGAAACTGAAGGCCTACAGTGTATAAATTGCTGTTTTGGAAAGCACCACAAGTCTCTCTCTCTCTCTCTCTCTGTTTGTGTGTGAGCTGAGCTATAAGAGCAACTAGAAACTGGGAAGGGAATGGACCAAAGACTCTTTTAACAACAGTTAGAAGGACAGGGACTTGTCACAGAGATCAGAGCAGAGATTGGCTAGTAACACAAAGCTTCAAATTTCTACAGAAACCCATGATAGCATTCCACGTGGCAGTTGCCCAATTGTACCATGCTGTAAACTTGTGGCTGGGTCAGCTTTGAGTGCTGTAGAATGTAGATGGTTAGAATTGGATGACTGGGGGATTGGTTATTTTAAGGCAACCAAATCTAGAACTTGCAGCACATTCAATCTGTGCTATCTGATAATGTTGAGGGTGGTGCCACGTTTGCATCGGCACTGCACATTTTATTGGACAATGATGAGGGACAAGATTGTCAGAGGCGAAGTTTTTGACAGCTTGGCCAAGTTGGGAATTTTTTATGTCATGCTTAGATTTTTGGATGATACAATGCAAATTTGCACTTATCTTGTTCTTATCTCTATGAAAGTTATAAAGTCACTTTCTTCAATTTCAGATGTCTAAAAGTTGGAAAAACAACAATTACTCAAAACATAAATAGCTCTAATTGAAAGAAGGATTAATCTTCTCCCTATTGTGTTTTAGGTAAATATGAAGAAAAAAATTGTCAAAACTTGTATGATTGTGCTTGGAAAATATATAACTGAGAAGAAATATATAGAAAAGATGGTATCTTCAAAGCTTGTCCCAATTGGGATGCAGCAGTGATGATAGGAATTGGACTTGGCATGGATTTGGACAGATACAAAGTAAAAGCACATAAAAAAAGCATGGACCAGGTTTACTCCATTTGTTCACTTGGAAGGAATCTTCCCCAACTGCAAGCCAACACTTGCCTTATGTATTGGTGGTAGCAGACTTATTTATCCAATCTAGAATTTACTGCAGGATGATGGCCTACAGAATTTGCTAGCAGGTCCTGTTTTATACTTCCTGTTAATCATGATAAGAACTAAAGTGGGTAAAGTCCTCCACTTGAAGGTGTTTTCTGACCCAAGTTGATTGATAGATTGTTCTCTGTCATGGTCTTGTTGAAGCACTGGCTGCTGCAGTTTTTATGGGCACTCCTCATCTTTAATTCCGCGTGAGCTGGGTTGCAAGATGTGAAATTTTTTTACTCGCTGTCTGGCAATGTTTATGCCGGATTGATTATGTTTTCTAGATTTTCTGTATTGTGGGAACCTTCCTTTGGGGTTGTGTTCTTCCTGTATGTATCCTGTTTTTGCCCCGTTTATCAATGAATCTGACTGTTTCACCCCCCAAAAGAGAGAGAGAGAGAGAGAGAGAGAGAGAGAGAGAGAACTAAAGTGGGTCTATCTACACGTTTAAAAACTTAGCTAAATGGAAAGTCCTAGTCTAAATGAGAAGGTGTTGAATTGTTTGAGCAAATCTTGGCATTAATTTGGAGGTGGTAGTTTGTTGGCTGGAGAGACTAGGATCTTGTGCAATGTATAAGGGGGGTAGGCTTCATGGGTTGAGCTTGAGGAGCTAAAACTTGTGTTTATGAACTTTAAATTCATGTCATTTTGGTTTTATAGAGAATATAGCCTCTTATCCAGCAATAGATAGGGCTGCTATCTAGCATGAACCTTTGCCTTTGATTTATCGTCGTTTTCAGTACAGGGGCGGCAAGGCCTACCAAATAACTACTGTCTTAATATCAAATTGGGTCCATGGTTCTGTCTATAGCTGGAGAAGGCAATTACATGGTCAGCAAGGTACCAAAATGCATTTATTCATTTTCCAATCCAATTAATATGTTTGGAATTATGGGCTTATTTTCCGTGCACAAACAAAGAAAGAAGTTAGAAATTGGAAAAAGAAAAAGAAAAAAGACGAACTAACCTGCAAACGGATCGAATATACCTTAATCCAAATCCAAATCCAAATCTAAATCCATTGATAATAGGATTATCGGATTGCACCTTTCAATCCATATCCATTACGCATCGGATTTGGATCAGATTTATTTATTATCGGATTTATTTTGAGATGTACAAGAAATCAAAATTTCATTAGTAGCCTCGTTCTTGTATTGTATTTATCTACTTTTTACATCAAATTTTGATATTTTATCATAAAATTTAGTTTAAGTGTGTTCTTACTAAGTGCATATAAAACTAAAATTACTCATTTACACATATAAAATATTAATATAAAGCATAGAAAAACTAAATTATACTTCATACTAAGTCGGGTCATATCAACTATAATTCATATCCGAATCCATTTATAATCGAATTATCGGATTTAGAAGTCCAATCCATCTCCTATTAGTTACGTTGGGAAAAACAATTTCAACTTTTGAGGTAGAAAGTGTCTTTATCCAAGTATTCTGTTAATATAGTCTTTTTAATAGATTGTAAAGTTGTAAGCTAGTAATACCTGAATACGAAAACAGTTTAGTTTTTCCATCTGATCAAGCACTTAAAAATTTGTGCTAAGACCAAAATGATAGTGTCACCAAACAGATCTAAAGTGGCTAAAAATGTCGACAGGATTTAGTTACATTAATGGTCAACCTGCAATCATTCTTATGGAAAACATGATATTTGTATTTGATATGAAGAAGTGTATACATTCTTGTATAGAGGAATTTACAACTCAGATGCTTGTATAAAAATCTATAAGTTTTCAACAGGGAAACCAGTAACAGGTCTTATCTCTGTAGCCAAAGAGCGCAATTCAGCGACTTCTTCATTGTTGAGCTTCCATCCAAGTGCACCGGCAAATTCTGCAGCCTGTTCTGCATTTTTGGCTCCTGGGATTGGCACAACATTATCCTGGGCTATCAACCAGTTTAGGACAACCTGTGCAGAGGAACCCAACTCACATTAAATCCCAGCGAGTTAGAAATTAGAATGCCCCAATATGAATTTCTGCATTCAAGAAATCTTGTCCAAGATATCAATATGTGGGTTTATGATCTTATATGATGGAGAGCATGAAACTACAGAGAGTTGGTCTACATATACTAAAAACAGTGAAACAAAGAGCTCTGTCTTTCATGTAATTTGGTATCTATCAAGAGTTTGATAATTGTATCCACGTCTCACATGACTTAACTACTAAAATATAGGTATTGCTGGTTACTGTTCAGCCATGCTTGAACGGAAATGACAAAATTGAGGACTTCTAATTGAAAAAGATACAATAGTTAAAGAGCATTAACAAACCTGTGTGTTTGTTTTACTGTACTTTTCTCCTATTTCCTTGATCCGGTTCAGCACAGGTTGGAGCTGCATATCAAAATGATATTTCAGCAATAAAATTGGAACTTACTGTGTAACTGGCTTTCAAAGTATTGACTATGCTTTACCCTTGTAAGAAATTCAGGAGTATAAATCTGTCTTCGAGGGCCGGTGGGAGGATTTTCAGGTGTGTACTTTCCTGTAAGAGCACCTGCATATGTATAAATAGTAGAAATTTCAATATTCTCAATCTCTTTCACACCTGGATCAGACAGAAAAACTTGGCTTCTGTGGAAACCAACCTACTAAGATCTGAGATTAAAGGCTGTAATCATTGTAACCAGGGTTGTGCAGAGATTACAAGTGATAATATAAGATCTCAACAGACATCTTTTATCAAGAATTCGCATCTTTTTTGTTTCAGACTAACTGCACGCCCTTTCTATTACTAAAAACTGTCCAATTTCTTACCTAATAAAAAACTGTGCATTCTAAATAATAAAAATAAATAAATAAATAAAAAGAAAACTGTGCAATGGGCGGATAACCCAGCTGTTTTTCTCTTGTTGTAAGGTATTGGTTTGGTGAAATATGAGTTTAAATGTAGAAAAGCAGATAGACAAACACCTCCTCTTTCTTAGATATTTCACTTTAAAGGTTTTACCAAGCAAGATTACCACTTATCCAGAAATAGTTGAATTCAAGAATAAGCAAGACACAGTAAGGTGTTAAAAAATGCACGAGAAATAGAGAATTTTACTTCTTCACTGTTTCTTTCAGGAGCCAGAACTAGTCTATCACACAATATAGAAGAAATAAGCTCATAATGTTGAAGTTAAGAACTGCTTGAAAAGGAATACTCAAAATTCACAATCAGGGGATCAGTGACAAAAGTGAGCAAGCCTGCTTTCTCCTAACTCAGCAATGATTTTTGTTTCCATTGTTTATACCCTTCTTAAGTTAAAACAAAAGATAACAATAGGATGAACTTAAGCCCCAATTTCTGAAGATTGCTCAGAGAGGTCTTGAATACTGTAAATTGAAAAAATATTATACCTTCTAAAAGTGATTTTATTAATTCTTAAGCTAAGATATTGAGTGAAAATGAAAATAGATTAAGATACAAGGTTCCAACTTCACCTTGAGCAATAGGCGAATAGGCAATCAAAGTGATCCCAAGTTCATCACAGGTAGACTTTACTCCTTTCTCCTCTGGTGCCCTGTATATGAGGCTGTAATTCACTTGGTTTGATGCTAATGGGATACCTCTCTTTTGAAGTTTCTTGTGTGCCTCACGCAATCGCCTTTCTGCAATAAAGATCTTTGTGCATCATGTTCATATTAGTTGAGGAGGGGATCCATTTTTATAAATTACTTTCTTGACATGCCAATATATTCTATACTTACTTAAAACAAAGAAGAAAAAGCAAAGAAAGATAAAGGACATGTTTCGAACAGCTGACCATAATTAGATAAAAGGATAGATTTGTACCGCTATAGTTTGAAACACCAACAGCCTTCACAAGGCCTTGTTCAACAGCATCTCCAAGACCATCAAGATACCCTGAAATATGATTTTTCCAGAGACGCCTCTTTAGAAACAAAAGGTGATTATTATATATAGCCATCTATTTACATTAGCCAGACGGAGAATTATTTTATGAAAAAATGGTGTTATATATAAACAACCTTCATTTCCCCATATTCCAGGCCTGAAAATCAACACAAAACACTTGATTAGTTATTGTGGTTACATTAGCAGAATGACACTCTGACGTAAAGGACATACCAATGGAGTTGATACAGTTCTACTGAAGAAACTCCAAGGCGACCGAGGGAATCCTTAAGGGCAGTAATGACACTCTGACGACCCAGCCTCCATGGCAGAGCTGCGAATTTGGTTGCAATAGCAACCTCCACTCCTGGATACTTTTCTTTCCTTTCCTTGACAAATCTGTATAAAATTCAGTGGAAGTTATATAACTAATGTTCTCAAAACACAGAAATTAACCATGATTAGCCTTACTCTTTG